TATTTATTTTTCATTTATTTATTTTTTTTATATCTTCTTTTTAAACTTTGTATATTATACTTTATGCGTTTTAGGTTTGGGATCCACGTGTAAACGCTTCGGATCGCTACCATCTAATGCCCATTATAACGCCGGCATATCCACAACAGAATTCCACATTCAATGTGTCGGAATCTACAAAGAAAGTTATACTTAATGAATTTAACCGCGGCATGATTACCACGGATGAAATAATGATTGGACGTGCTGCGTGGGATCGTCTCTTTGAGGCGCCAAGTTTCTTTTACAAGTATATATTTGCATGCTAAATGTATCWGTGTAAATATTTTTTAATATTTTTCTTTTGTTTACAGATACCGTCACTTCATAGTGCTTTTAGTCACATCCCAGACAGGCGATGATCAACTGGAGTGGTGTGGCCTAGTCGAATCCAAGATTCGTCTTTTAGTTGGTAATTTAGAGCGTAATCAACACATTTCATTGGCACATGTAAATCCAACATGTTTCGACTATAAGAAGTCCGCTGCCACCACACAAACCAACAACGGCAATGAGGATGACAAAACTCAGCCGGGTGGCAATCCAACAGTTTGTCAATCACCATTCTGTTCGATGTGGTTCATCGGTTTGGAATTTGAACGCACCGAGAATTTGAATGTCGACCTTACAGAGAGTATACAAAACTTTACCGAACATGTCATACAACATGGCGTGAGTAGCATAGTTTTTGTAATAATGTTTACATATTTTTTATGTATTTATTTTTTTCCACTCTTTGCCTTGGTAGGTAAACATAAAAATGCTGAAAGATGGCATGCATATTGAGGCGCGCCATGTGAAGCGTAAATCGCTCTCACAATATTTGGATACGGATTTCTTGAAGCGTGAACGCAAATCCATGGAACAGCATAATAATTTTAATAATGCAATTTTAGCGAATCGCAAACGTTTGTCGACCGAATTGTCTACACAGAAAGAGGGCGGTAGCGCTAAAAAGCCGCGCTTAAGTGAATCGGTGAGTATTTAATTATTATTGCTAAATTTCGTACCGAAAGGAAATGATTTTGATTGATGATATTATGATAATGAGCGAAAAAATTCGGTCAAAATGAGTACTAAATTCAATAAAATATTAAAAGAAATAATGCTTAGAAAAAAAAATTAACAAAAAAAGCAGTTTGTTATTATTATTTTTTGTTTGCATTATACTCACTAACT